CTGCCTCCCTCCCTCCCCTCCTCGCCTTCTCTCCCCTCCCTGCCTCCCTCCCTCCCCTCCTCGCCTTCTCTCCCCTCTCTGCCTCCCTCCCTCCCCTCCTCGCCTTCTCTCCCCTCGCTGCCTCCCTCCCTCCCCTCCTCGCCTTCTCTCCCCTCTCTGCCTCCCTCCACGCCTGCCTCCTTCCCTCCCTTCCTTTAGAAACCATGAGTGATTTCTGGAATTATGAACTTGAGAATATGTTTTTGCCTTTTGTTTTTGCTTCAAAGTAACCTTGGGGAATATAATTGTTTGAGATTAATATCACTAAAACAGAATTATATCACTAAACAAAAGAATTTATGTTTTTGTATATCACTCTTTAGTGGAGCAGATAGTACTCCCCCCCACCCCCCCAAGTTTCATCTATGAATTGTGGGAATCTTATTGTATTAAGTTCTTAGGACACTGTACATTTTTTAATTAATGTTTTTGTTCAGTTTTTAAAAACGGTAAGAGTACATATTTTTTCCACATGTGTGGCCTGAATTTCTCCCAAATTTAGAGTATGCCAAAAATGATGCCATGGGGAATTTTAAAGAATGCGGGAAAAAAGAAGGTCAATATGGTCCTTATTTATAATCTGACATAATGGCTACAAGATGTGGATTTATTATATAAATGTTTTAAAAATACACAGTCAACTCCCATCTAAAAGGAAGTCCTAGAGTGCGGGGGGGGGGGAGTCTTGTGGTGGATGTGGGGGTCGCAGTTTGGGGCCTTCCTCGCCACCACTTGCCTCTTCCCCATCTCCACTTTTTCCTCCGTTGGGTCTCTTGTCAGCTTTCCATTCTTCAAAACCAGGATGATAACGCCTGCCATTTAGAGTAGTTGTAAGTATTTAAGAAGAAATCAACAGAAAAATAGGTGAAAGCAGTGTCTTCAATAAAATGCAGAATCACTGTTAGTTGTTTTTATTATGAAGCTTTTTTCCTTTCAGAAAAGATCTGTGATCCAACTGTTCAGATGACCCCTATTGACATAAAAATAACCCCCAACAGTAACAAAAGTGAAGGCTTTCACTTAAACAGTACAGAAAACTGTAAAGAGAAAACAAAAAGCCATGTTCCCAGTCTTCTTCCTGCAGGGAACCACCATTAAAAGCTTATTTATGTCTCTTTCTAGAACTTACTCCTTCTGTGCCACGGTGGCTCTGGGGTAGGGACTGTGATGTGCCCAGACTCTCTTCAGGACCGTAGGCCCAGCCCCTCACTTGAACGGAAGGCTACTGCCTCCACTCAGGGGGCTGTGTCCCTTGAAGAGGGACCCTGGGCCCAAGGTCATCTCCTGCCCCAGGGTTCTGCAGCCTGTACCAGCGTGTAAAGGGACTCCTGGACCTCTGATGAGGCCTTAGGGCTGTAGAGCTCTTGGAGAGCCTCCTAGGCCACCTGAGTCGCTTTGCAGGTTCCTTTTCTGCCCATCTCCCTTCTCCCTCCCCTTCCTATAGCATTGTTTTAAGGGCACAACCTAATCAATACCCGGTATGCTACCCCCTTCCTGGGGCACCCCGCCTTCTGGGACCTCCAGTTTGTAGTAGTTTGTCATGTGTCTATTGTGAGACATTTAACTTCAGGAAAAATATAAGCTATAAAATTCCTTTTCTGTAATGTCAAATGTTTGAGATGGTGGATATGCTAATTCCCCTGATCTGCTCACTCTGTATTAGGTATATTGAAACATCAGTGCATCCCATAGATATATACAATTATGCCATTTTTTAGAAGTTTAAATAAACAACTTAAAACTAAAAAAAATCCCTTTCTGATCTTATATTCTGATCCTATCTTTTCTTTGCACTTATTCAGAATGCAAAAAAATCTGGTAAATGGTAAATGTTTACAACAATTTGAGGCTAGTTTTGATGTACTTCTTAATTCCTTTTTAAACAGGGCATTCATCAGTTGAATTTTTAAAAATAGGGGGGGCATAGATTCCTTATCTGTGCAGCTTGGATTCAGAACTATAACACAGGAAAATGATTTCAGAAATCTAGAAATGATTTCTGAAAATAGGTGTCCCTTTATTCCTTTCTCAGTAAGTGGTTTGGAGTCAAGAACATAGGCTTTGCCCCGTGCAGAGTTGGGTTGGAGTCCTGGGTCTGCCACTGCGCAGGTTCCTAGCTTTGGGCAAGGTACCTACCAGCTGCACCTCAGTTTCCGAGTCTGCAGAACGGATGTGTCCCAGGATGTCAACAGCCAGCACTTGGCAGCAGGTGTATTGTTACTGATAATTCAACATAATTTAATAAAGTAATAACAACCACAGCAAAACCTATTTTATGAAGTGAGGAAAAGGGCTCAGTAAGTTTAACAAAACTTCCTGGGACCCAGATTGAATTAGTAACAGAGCTAGCACCTAGGCATCTGACCTCTGAGACGGTGTCTTTCCATTCATGTTCTGGCCTTAAGTAATACAATTAAACAAAACAGGGTGGGAGGAACCTTTGGGTGAAGATTGGCCTCTAGGTTTTACAGACAGACATTAAGAAGGGTGATGTAAACCGAACCTCAGTTGTAACCTCATCAGTTGAAATCTTTAGAGAGGATCAGTCGTGTAAGTGGAGCAGTAGGATTTTGGATCCTCTAATCACCTGGAAAGCAGACCTTTGCAGACATTTTTGTATAATTTGTATTGATATTTATAGTCTTAAAATAATTTTTCTGTCTTTCAGAAAGGAGATAGAGATATGATAGGCAGATACCACTCAACATAGTTCATAAAGTGTCTAAATTATTGTCCTTACGTTACATCTGTGTAGTTGCAATAAATCTAACAATATATTTTATGTATTATTTGTGAAAATACAAATATATTTTACATACTTTTATTTATCAATATATTTCCAGTCTGTTTTCCCACAGGTCAACACCAGTAACCTGTATCTTTTTGTATCTCCTCCTAACACTTGCTCCTTCTATGCCCAGGTAGCCCTGGGATGGGTACTCTGATAAAATTGCTTCTTGCTGAATCATGTCATAGATGATCAGTAAACTTTTGCTAAATTAAAGAATAAATGTTATCTTCCTGTACTTGGAGGAAAGTGTCAGTAGGAAGTAGTGTTTTGTGTGTGTGACGCTTGTTAGTCCACAGATCTGTGTTCCAGTTGCTCAGTATTTCTACTATGTGATCAGACCTTTGGATGTCTCACCAGTGTTCATGCTTTTGTTGTGCTGGAGTTTTTCAATATTCTGCTTGAACGTCCTTATAATATAAATTGATTTGTTGTGTTGACTGCAGTGCTATAAGAGTTCCAAGGACCAGCAGCCTCAGATGGAACTGCCCCTCCAAGGCTGTAACATTACATACATCCCCAAAGACAGCAAAAAGAAGAAACATGAGCTGAAAATCACTCAGCAAGGCACAGACCCACTTGTTCTCGCAGTCCAGAGCAAGGAGCAGGCGGAGCAGTGGCTGAAGGTAGGTTGTCTGTTAGGTTTCTGAGCCATTTTCAATTCTAGACCTCTTCTGAGATCTATTTTTATCTTAGTTCATATTTCTTAAGCATAAGAAAAATGGATTAAGCTGAATAGTTTTGTCTTTCATAGCTGAATATTCCGATTACTTTGAGGTGAATCAGAAACCCCTGTATTTCACTTTAACTCGTCTCCAGATTTGCCTGTTTTCTGCGTCTCGTGTGAGTGGCCTGTTGTGACTGGCGTCCTTCTGAGCATCATGTTTCCAAGGTTCATCTGTCTTGGAGCAGGTGTCCATAGTTCATTCCTTTGTATTGTTTTTTGTGTCATATGTAAGAAACCATTGCCTAATATGAGATCTGGAAGATTTATACCTATGTTTTCTTCTGAGAGATTTGCAGGATTACCCCTTAAATCTAGGTTTGTGGTCCATTTTGATTTAGTTTTTGCATATAGTATGAAATAGGGGTCCAACTTCATTTTTTCATGTGGGTGTCCAGTTGTCCCCATGGAAATCAAGTGATTCTTGGAACAGTGCTTTCCTCCACCAGGGATTATTTTCCTTTGACTCCATGAGCTTGGGGTGTTAGTGCTCTAGTCCATTCAGGGGCAAACTGATGTTTATTTTATTGCACTCTTAACTCTGAGATTTATTCCTTGTGGCCTCTATCCTGGTTGTGGGTGCATTGCCAGGGACCTCATCTTTGGCCTGCCCTGGACTTGAGCTTTCAATCCTTCTTCTCCTGCCCTCAGCTGTCCCCCCAACCCCCACCAGGAGTGGCAGAGGCAATGCCAGCCGCTAGCCTCTCTCTCTGGATTTCCAGCTTATTCTAGTAATTCCTTATGAGCCAAGTAGCTTCTTTATGCTTCTGAGAAGATTTGTATTAATATATTTTATCTTGCTTTCCTAATTGTCTTCATCAGGATGATTGGTCTAAACCAGCGGTTCTCAACCTGTGGGTCATGACCCCTTTGGACTGTATTAAAGGTTCGAGGCATTAGAAAGGTTGAGAACTACTGAACCAGGCGTCCTCAAACTATGGCCCGCAGGCCATGTGCAGCCCGCTCAGGACATTTATCTGGCCCATTGGGTGTTTTTGCCACCGCTGCCTGTCCTGCTTAGCAGGTGACTCGTCCTGGGGACCGCAGTCCGGCCCTCCAACGGTTTGAGAAACAGTGAACTGGCCCCCTGTTTAAAAAGTTTGAGGACCTCTGAATTCTGAACCATCATTTCCTGCTGGTACCTGTTGTGAAAAGAGAGTTGGGGGGGAAGGGAAAACCTGGTGAAACATTTTGTAACAGTGGCTCCTATAACATATGAGTATTCATAAGTATTCACTAAAATTCTCATTTCCCTCTTGTTCCCAGGAAATTATAAAGATCAGATTACTTGATGATAATAGTGCTTGCCATCATTGTGTCTGTCAGCTGCTCAGAACACATGGATGTTGCCTTGTTTATTTTGTCCAGAGTGGCTGTGGCTTTCCTTCTATCTGTGTTGTGTGGGAGATTAAGGAGAGCATTATTTTCCTCTGGGTGAGCCTCCTGGAAGTCCCGTGATCAGGAATTTCTACTGTTGAGTTTATAGCACACAGAACTTTAATATCTTACATATCAACCCCTCTGTTACCAGTGTCACTGTAAGTTTACAGAGGACCTTCCCACTATCATTATCTTGTAATCCTCAGGCTCCTGAGAAAGCTGCTTTCATTAGAAGTTTCATTTGACAGTCAAGAGACTGAGGCTTAGGTAGGTGAAGTGAGGCCGGCTTTGATTAGCAAGTGATGGACCTGGGAGTCTGTCAGATTTCTGTGGCTGCAGGTCTCTGTTTTGTCATGTCAGGCTGGCTGACAGTTTGCTATTGTCTCTGGTTTCTATCCTCACATCTGTGATTGCTGTGCCATCCCTTCAATAAGGAGGGAATGCAGTTGTGAAGTAAATGCGCAGCTTTCCTTACGATTCTGTTTTCTTCACTTGGTCCCACTCTTGTGGTTACTTGTACCCATCCTGCTTTACTGTTCTTCAGTGGAGAACCAAGAAAGGCCATTCTGCAACTTAAGCTTTCCTCTTTTCTCCCTCCTTACAGCTTGTTAAATAATATCTCATCGCATACTAAAGAATAGCTCCCTTCTTGCTGGCATTGCTCTGATATGAAGTCATCTGAAGTGCCACTGGGCAGTGCTGTGGAGCTGACAGTGCAGCTGACAAACACATCATTACAAACAAACTTTTTCAAGATGTGAGATGCTGATGGAGTGAAATAATCTTGTATCTCGTTTCACCAGATGCCAGATGCTTATGAATCCGAGGCACTTAGCTAATTATAGAACGATGACTCCGTTTATGAATGGAAGTTAATTACAAGATTTTTTTAGCATTTGCTGACATTACTTAGAAGACAATAAATAAAACATGGTAAATTATCTTTTTCTTAGGAGTTTAAATTGATGAATTGCTCTAAATAGAGTCTGTGCTGTTATTTCCATTACCTGTGATAGTATGAGAACCTCAGAAGTTTGGATTAAAAATGATGGTCAGTTGAAAAGATTAGTTTCAGTCAATCAGTTATAGAATTTTAATTTAGGCTAGCAGAACTCTGAGTTGGTCTAGTTTAGTTTCTTCCAGATGCTGTCATTAGATCACCTGGAAATTTAAAAAAAACGATTTTTTCTCCTGAAGCATCCATTTTATTCTATGCAAGAATCCAAAGGCATTGAAATTCAGGTATTACTGTAATAGTTAGACTGTTTTAAAGATGAAAAAACACTGGCAATAATTTGGTGATTTCCAATTCTTTGCAATTTATTTAAAGCATGTGAAACAAGTGACTCCATCTTCTTTAAAGTAAAAAATACTGTTTTTATTTCTAGCAATGGACCTTACCAGTCTATATCTTATCAGATTATAAACGAGACCCAGTTGAATTCATGTTTTTATTTGTAATACTTAGTGCAAGACTAGGCCTATTGATGCTTTTAAATGTCTGGAAAAAAGGAATAAATAAATTAAAAACGTAGATTCCCCATGATTCAGATTTATTTGGGACCTAAGATTCCTTTTTTTTCCTTTTTCCTTTGTATCTTTTTAAAATTTAAAATGCTTCAGATGGAATTGAAACATGCCTCCCATATTAAATTCTCTCTCCCTTCTCAGAGGTAACTTTTATCTGAATTTGGTCTTTATCACTATCTGGGTGTGCTTTTTAAAAAAATCCTTTCATTTATATATGTACATAGCCATGAATGATAAATAATATTTTTTTCATGTTTTACAATCTCCACATAAATGGCTGCTGGCTCCATGTATCCTGCAGGGTTTTTTGTCACTCAGAACTATTTTATATCCCTTCTCCTACTGATGACCACTAGTGTGTTCACACCTTCTCATTACCACAGGCGGCATCGCGGTGAGCATTCCCTCCTGTGTCCCCTGGTCTCATGTGTTATGGCTTCTCTGGGATGGATGTCGTGGGTAGCTGACATTGGAATTGCCAGGTACACATCTTCAGCATCACTAGGTCTTATCAGATGGTGTTCTGTACGTCGCCCAGCAGTGTAGGACACAGCTGTTCTTTGTATGTCTCCTTTCAGAGTCTCTTCATACCGATGCAGGCAAATAGGAATGGCAGTTCCATTCCCTTCAACTCCCCATGGAAAAGGTGTAGCATTCTGCACCTTGGTTTTTTCACTAAGACAAAGTATCTTGGAGATCTTTGCAATTTATAGAATAAAGCACTTTCTCTCTCTTTTAAAAAATAGTATATAGTATTTCATTGTATAAATAGACTATACTTAAACTCTGTCTCCCATTAATGGACTTGGGTTGCTTTCAATCTTCTGATATGACAATTTCTTATTAAGTAATCCTGTGCATATACCATTTCATACCTTTGCTAGTCTATAAGCACTTCAGCGAAGGCATTCATACTTTGGGTATATAGCCAAATCACTTTTCTCAGGAGGTTTTCTGATTTTCCCTCCCACCAACAATCGACCAGAGTGCCTTTTCCTCCTCCAGGCTTGTCAGTAGCATATGTTAGCAAACTTCTGAATTTTTTCCAGCCAGATGGGGAAGAAGGGTCTCAGGCTAGTTTTAATCTGCATTTCTCTTATTATGAATGACATCGAGTATCTCTGTAGGGTTGAAGAGCCTACAGTTGTCTTAGTATTAGTATTTCTGTGACCTGTCTGTTTACATCATTTGCTGTACTCTTTGCCTATAAATCCATTTATAACAAGTTCTCAGATGAGAACTCTGAGACAATACCAGGTTTGGTTATCGGTATTCTTGTTCAGCCTGTGCATTTCCTATTAAGAGAAGGCTTCACAGAAGAGGTAGGACGCAAGAGCAAATACATATTTTGTAGTTAGATAGGCAGTTGAGGTAAATAGAATTCCAAAATCATTTGAAATACACTTTCATTTGATTTTTATAGTTGCTTCAAAACTTCAATATGATAAATGCAAAAGCTCCAGAAAAAGGACTTGAGAGCTAGCATTGTGTTGCAGTCATACTGTTGGAGCACAACACTGGAGCCAGAGGCTTTGGGTTGTGATCTGAGTTCCAGCAGCTACACCTGTGTATCTCAAGCAACCTACGTAACTTCTGAGAGCCTTGGTTTTCTCATTTGTGTGGGGATAATGGTAGCATCTGCTTTTCAGAGTTGTTTTGAGGATGAAATAATACCAAGGTTGGAAGCTTTTAGACCAGCATTTAGGGAGCACGTCTATAAGTCTAAGCTCCTGTTACTGTTGTTACTATACTGCCATCTCTATGCCTCAATCAGCTCACATGCCCCTGCTGAGAGCAGTTTGGAAATCCAGGTGGCAGTAGGATGTTTGGGTTCTGAATCCAGAACTGGATTCAGATCCCTTCTTCCTACCGTCATTTGGCTAGAATGAGGCAGTCTGGGAAACATAATCCTTGTCTTTGCCCAGAAAGAAGAAACTGAATAATCTGCAATATCTTCTATTTCAAAATAAAGTACTAAACACCCTGAAACAA